TGACCTTGATCTGACCTTGGCAACGCCATCCAAGGTCAAACAGCTATTACCGTTGATTGTGTCTTTTTAAGCCTTACAACTTTTGTCTGAAATATTTTTCTCTAAAATGCAATGTTTACGAGATATTTGAGTGTATCCAGACTTTCGACACATCCTGTATATACATATAATCTTTATGACAATTTATTATTATTTATAGTTATATTTAGTAATTTATAAATGAGAAAAGAAAATTTGATATATTTTATCCTTTTATGTTACCAAACATTTGCATATTTATATAAGCTTGCCTATATTTATAGAAAATAAACTTTTTCCAAAGCAAAAATTTAGAAATTTAATTTTTGTCGTAAAATATTTATAAATAATGGTTTTATGTATCGAATTAATTTTAATCAATATGAAAATAATTTTTTTATTTGGTTAGAGAATATTTGTTTATAAAGATGCGCATTTGTTTTTATTATTACGCGATATTTGTAGCATGCATGTATGTAAGTATATATGTATGTATCGGGGAATAAGTCGACTGTACCATGCACACACACATGCAGGCAGGCACACGCGATCATATCAGTGCGCGGCAGATACTCAGTCTCAGTCGCGCGTGTTGTGTACATACGCGTAACAAGAGATTACCGCAAAAGTACGCTCAACTGTTATAACGCGTTATAACGCGTTGAATTTAAAAAACGAGTGTTGTGTTTTTGTAGTGTGGTTTTAATAGTGTGTCCACATAATGGGACAAAAATATTCGAAAATTTTCGAGAGATGCTTGCCCCTCTTTGCCCGCAGACTTTCTTTAAAAAGAATAAGGGTCAAAAGATAGTAGGGTTATAGGGCCGGTTCTAACTCAGGTCCTCTGAGGGGTGGTGAGGGATGGGGGGTCTCGCGCGGGCGCGGGGGCTTGACGTCACGCGGGCGGAGGGGGATTTTGGTGGCGCGGGGGAATGACGTCACGCGGGCGGGGGAGCTTATCGTGGGAGCATAATAGGGGCGGTGTATTACAAAGGGCG